AATAAAATAAAATAAAATAAAATAAAATAAAATAAAATAAAATAAAAAAAGAGTCAGAAAGAGACTCCAGGTGCCTGCCCCATGAAACTTAAACATCCTTCCTCAATGCCTGAGCCAGGAATGACAGATCAGAAGCTGTCTGTAGGGACAGGGCACCCATGCCCTTCAGTCAGATCAGATGTCAGATTTGGGAGGGGACAGAGACAAGGGAGAGGTGATATGTATTTCACTTGGTCCCTCGAAGAGGGGTTATATCTCCCAAGAAAGGCCTCACCTGGAGACACCACCAGGCTGATGTTTCGGAGAACGTTCACCTCTTTGCGGGCGGGGTTGTATGGTCCGCACCAGTAGAATGCTGAGTCCTTCTCCGTGAGGTGGGTCATGGTGATTCTGAAGAAACCGGCTTCAGGGTCATCCCAGATTGTGCTCTGGGACGCCTTGTCTGCTTTCCGAGGCTCAGAGGTGGTGACCACTCGGTTACATCTGTTTGGAGCTGTCTGCTGACACCACGTTTTCTGCACATAAGGCCCCGCCTCGGGCTTGTACTGGCACTGCACCGATAGGTCCTGTCCTACCACTCTACGGACTTCCTCGGATATTGCCGCACCCCAGACACCTGGACAACAAACCCTCAGGTCAGAGCCCCAGCTGTATACATCTGTTTGCAGGGCTGGGAATGCCAACAAGCAATGACTTCCAGTACCAGACTCAGAACATGGCCCCCAAACCAGCTCTGGTCACAGGGTCAGCCTGACAGCTACCAGATCCTTGTCCTTTCATCCCACCTCTCTACACCTTGTACCTTGAATCACCTCACCTGAGGCCAGGAACACCAGCAACACAGGGGCCAAAAGCAGTTGTGAGCACCTCCAGGCCATACCACCCCGGATTCTGTCAGTGGAGGAGAGGAGAAGGGGATGCCTTTAGAATGGGCAAGAGTCTCCCTTGATTCTCAGCATCTGTGACATGTAAGAAGCAAGGAAGACCAGAGCTGTGTTTGGGGAAGTGGTTGGCCTGGGTAGGCGGGCTCTATGGACACAAGAGAGGAACAGTAGTCAGGCCTGGACTGGGGCCCCCTTGCTGCAGGGTCCACCTCTGGCTCTCACACTTCAGCCCTGTCCCTATGCCTAGCCTTCTTTTTGTTCATCCTCTCCCTAAGGCACTTCATACCATCCACAATCACATTCCTGCATTATTGCTACCACAACAAAACAAACAAAAAAACAAAAAACAAAGCAAAACAAAAAGTTAAGAACACTCAAGAAAAAAAAATAGCTGTGTGGAGCAAGAGGCTCGTTCCTCTTTTCTTTTTCAGTGAGAAAGGTCAAAGGTCCCTAGAGGTGTGCCCAGAGTCTTGGGTATGCCCACCTCAAAGATAAGTCAGGGGCCTCACTCCCAAGCAATAATGTGTTTTCATCCTGGGAGGTTTGTGAGCCACCAGACTCCAAGGCCAGGCTGTAAGGATGGTCCCTGGAAAGGGTGAGGGGATGGCTACCAGCAGGTAAAAGAACGCTTGTGGAAAGATTACCGGAAGGGAAACCAAGAGGGAGAGACCTTTTAGTGGTGAGAAAGGAAGAAGGGGAATTCATGACTATGTCAACTGGTATTTGTTGAAGGGACACATAAGTGAGTAAAAAAAAGAGAGGGAGAAACCATCTTATGTTAACATCTCACATGCAAAAGTGTGTGGAAGAAATGGTGAAATGTTGAGACAATCTAGCAATAAAGTAAATGGATGTTAGACTTTATATTCAAAATATTAAACAGCCACAAGTTCCTGTTAATTTAGGAAGATGATGGAGTAAATAATCAGGAGAGAACTATACCTCCCATGTGCAAGAATTCTGGGAGCTATCAATGGCAGACTAAGGGCCGTATCCCCAAAAGAGGTCAGGCCTTTAAGGGGTTGACGGGTTACATGGGCTCAGGATTGCAAAACAGAGCAAGGGAGAGAGTCTGCCCCTGCCCTGCTATGATTTGCATATGGTTTGCATTTGCTCCTAAAGATGGTGGATCAGAAAGCTTAGTCTCCAGAATGGTGTAGAGCCTTTAAGAGGCAGGCTACCTGGGAATCTTTAGGATAACTGAAACATGCCCTGGGTGGTGATTATGGGACCCCAGAATCTGTCTGTCTGTCTATCTATCTATCTATCTATCTACTTTTCTCTCTCCACATTCTTTCCTCTTCCCTTTCCCCCCACCCCACTCCATCCATCCATCCATCCATCCATCCATCCATCCATCCATCCATCCATCCCTCACATGCCTCTGGCTTCTTGTTGAGTGACGTGATCAAAACAGACTCTTAACATCTGATGCCATATAATTTGAGGCCTTTACAAGAGCTAACCTAAGCTCATGTCTTTAAGCCTTCAGATGTGTTTGTAAATAAACCTCATTTCTTTATAAAGTAACTGCCTCAGGTATTTTATTATAGTTACAGTAAACTAACACAAATGCCCTCTTCTAAGCCTCAAGAACTAACTATCTACAATTGTTTATAAAGGAGACAGTCTAAGTATTTTGTTACAGTAGTTTCAAAGTGCTGGAACGTATCTGAAATGTTTATATGCATACTCTTCTCTAAAGGAGGGGCATAATATCTGCTGTGTATGTGTGGGCTCCTCATCAATGCATTAAACCACTGACTGAGTCACAAATGTCATGATCGAATAGTCTCAATAAATACATACATTCCAATATCCCAGATGCTTCTCAGTCCTATTGGACCATGGCAGGCAGAGGCAGGAGAATCAGTGTGAGTTCCAGGACATTCTGGTCTGTAGCGTTCCAACCATTAAACGCGTGTATGAAACTTAAACCTGGCATCAAATGAGTGAGGAGAAAGGCAGCCCGTGTCTCTGGAGTTTTGAGCCAGAGCTGTGTTGGCTGTTTGCTGATCGGGGGAATACTCTGGTTTCGTTCCTGTTTCCATGCTAAAATACCCTGACTAAAAGCAACTTAGAGAAGGAAGGATTTATTTTGCTGACATCTCTAAACAAAGGCAGAGATGGGAAGCCAAGGCAGGCACTCAAGCCTCTAGTCGCATCACATCTGCAGGCAAGAGCAGAGAGAGAACAAATGCACCATTGCTAACCTGTGATCAGCTCTTTTTCTGTTGTTATCCTGTTCAGAAACCCCTTCCCAGGAAATGGTGCTGCCCGCATGGGCTAGGTCTTCTACAAGTTACAGCCGAGGAGATGCTCACAGACCAACTTGATCCAGAAAGTTTCTCAATGATGCTGTCTTCTCTAGGACTCCAGGCCATTTGGAGTTAATAGTTAAGGACGACCAGGTCAACTGTCAAGAGCTGAGAGACTGAAATAGGAGTCAGCAGTCAGCAGCATCCGTTAGGAAAAGTGTATGTACACCACATCATGGAAACCTCCGCTTTCACCGGCAAGCCCACAGTGCCGGCTGGGACCCCATGAGCCATCAGAACACCTGTCTTCTGACTTGTCTCCCTGCATCTGCTCTACTCATCTCCTATGCGGCAGCTGAGGGATGGAGATGGCAGAGCAAAGAATAAAAAAGCCAGTTGCTCTCTTGTCCCTTTGAGTGGCTAAGATCCAGAAGTTTGGGGAAGAAACTTTAATATTTGTTTGGTTGGTTTGCAGTGCTAGGAATCAAACCTACGACTCTGCAATTGCTAAGCAAGAATGGACTCTACCTACCACTAAGCTACATGCCCAGCCCAAATCTTTAATTGTAAATTCAGTCTTCCTCTACACTAATTACTGAACTGGAACTAGTATTGGAATCAGATTTTGTTTCATTTAAATGTCATCACACAGTTAAGAAAGGGCACTCTCTGCTTTGCAGAGGACCAGAGTTTGGTTTCCAACACCCATGTGAGGCAGCTCACAACCACCTGTAAGTCCAGATCAAGGGCATCTGACACTCTCTTCTGGCCTCTGCACACATCTGCATGCACAAATCCACAAAGAGACACAAACATTTATTCATAAATAAAAAACAAGTCTTTTTCTTTCAGTCACTACCCAAGATATTTAGGAAAATGAATTTTTTTCTTTATAACGCTGAAATGCATCCTTACACATTTGTCAGTATCTGTATCTGCCTGCAGGACTGGTAATTCATGGGGTCTTCGAAGAGGGCCAACCCTGAAAGAAAAAACGGGACCAAGCAGTTTTCCTTGTCAAAGTCCGGTTTATTATGGGGCAAAGCTTTACTTTTAAGCTCAAAGAATAAGGAAGTAAAAAATTGGAGGGAGAAGGGCGGGAGGCTATCTCGTAATTCATTAAGGTTTTAACATTAACTGTTAAAACCGGTCAGGTGGGGGAATCAGGTGGGGGAATCAGGTGGGGGGTGGTTCCCGGTCTCAGGAAGCAATCTATCCAGGTGGTCAAAGCTAACTGCAGCCTCTGGTGCCAGCATCCGTCATGACTACGTGCCTGGGATTCTTGGTCTCCGGCATCTCCCCCTTTCTTGTAATAATGAAAAATGGGTGAAGTATCTGTCTTAGGCTATATGATGAGCATCCAAGCCCAGCACCGTTATATGAGGTGATCCGCCTGTCCTAGGCTATGTGAGTTGGCTCCATACTTGGATTCACAATAATCCCGTCATCGGCTGTGGTCACAGCTATAGTGAGGTGACCAGCCTGTCTTAGGCTATATGAACTGCCTCCAAGGTGTGGACTCACAATACTCCCGTCACTGGCTGCAATCACAGCTTCGTAGGTGTGCCCCTGGGTTTGGCATCATAATATTCCCGTCACTGATAGCTCCGCAGCCATTTAAAATATTTACGGGGGCGCCACTCTCTGGCTAGCCGGGTGAAGTCAAACGCTGTTGAGGTATCTTCCTCAGGCACATCAGGGGACTCCTGACTGCTATCGGTAACAGCCAGCTGGTGGTAATGAACTAACGCAGAGCCTTTGTTAAGCGTTTCCACCTGTTCTTTAACAAAGGAAGTTAGTCTTTTAAATGCCCAAAGTCTAAAGGAGAGGAGAAGAAGACCCATGAAAGGACCAAGGATAGAAGGAAGAAGGGTGGATAATAAAGGAGAAGTGGAAAACCAATTTTGATACCAGGACTCTTGTTTCTCTCTGTTCCGTTTTCGTTCCTCCAAACTGGAGTGAACCTTATCAATACTGCTTTGCACTAAACCTGTTTTGTCAGTGTAAAAGCAGCATTCTTCCTTGAGTGCAGCACAAAGTCCGCCTTCCTGAAGAAAAACCAAATCTAGACCGCGCCTGTTTTGTAAAACTACCTCAGATAAGGACACCATAGAATCTTTTAGGTCCTGTAAGCGTTTTTGCAAATCTTGTAGGTCTTTGTCCATTGCCAGGGAGAGTTGATTAAATTATTGCTGGGAGGTAATTAGGGAGGCTATGCCTGTACCAGCTCCAGCAGCTCTGAGCCCCAGAATTACAGTTAGAGTGATGGCAATCAAGGGCTCACGTTTAACTCGAGATGGACGTACCCCTTTTTCCCAAAACTGAAGGAATTCATCCTTAGAATGTATAGTCAGTCTTGGGAAAAGCCGTACCAAGGACACAATAATCTCTATGGGCTAAAAAGGTGGAGCTTACAAGATAAGGAGTAAGACCAGTGGAGCAGGCAAAATAAGTGCCATTAGGTGCAGCAATATATGTAAAGCTTGAATTTACAAGAGTAATAATGCAAGTTTCTTGTAGAGCCACCGGGGGAAGCATAAAAGGTACCAATAGGCATGATCCAATTCTGGACACCTGTGTGACTGGGTGCTGCCACCGTAAGGCATTAGGATCATTAGTTGTAATTACTTCTAAGGGTAAGGCTATGCCCTCATAGAAGAGTGGCCGTGGTGAGTAACACACCCAGCATTCCTGAAAATCAGTGGCGTTAATATGATGTATGGCCTCTTTGTTGAAGGGCAGAAGCAGAAGGAATGTAATTGCCTTTGGCAGGGTTACTAAGTGACTAGAAATTAC